TTTGTGTTTGTCCGTCCCCTTTTTCTCCCAGTCTCGGGGTTTTTGTCGAGGTGTCAGCATCACCGCCACAGGTGGCCATAGCGAAGTGTACATGGTTGAGTACTGGCTGGGATTTGTCCGAGAGTTGCTGATGCCACGTTTTTCCTTCATTTTTTTTGGTTCCCAGGCTATGGTCATCATGCCCTTTTTTATACTTTTTGCTGCGTGCCAGCGGTTGTTCGTGTTCGTCGTATTTCCAATCCTCTCTCGGATGATCTTGTTGACGGAGGTGTTCCTGTCATGGGCGTGGTCTTTCAGTTCGATTCCTTTTGAATCAAAATGCTCGTACAACTTCTTCGTACCAACGACCTCATGCTTCTGCGACGAGATTTCATCATTCTTGGTGACATGCACAATTTCTACGATCTTGTGTGTCTCCTGGCCTAGGGCAATGACATCTGTATGGTACGAGTTTTTACGGCAGCCATGCCGTGCGTCCGTCTCAATGCTCATCATGGGAGAGGCACATGGAGGCTCGCTTGCTCGGCACTCTTCTTGCTGGGCGGCAGTCAAAGATTCTATCCGCCAGAGGCCCACTGCCGCTTTGACCTTGATTGTAGCCATTTCCAGGGCCCTCGGAGAGTAGGGCAGCGAGCTAAACTCGCAAAACTTCCGGAACTGCACCGGCAGCATACCGCTGCATATAAATGCGAGTGCGAGATGACAGTCGACAGTGCGTGAGTCCCCACTTATAGAGCTAGAGCAAGCAGTCAAAGAATGTTCCTTACACCTCCAGTGGAGGCGGGAGCCGAATTCGCAGGAGGTGACTTTTTCCAGCAAAAGCGTCTCGGGGCAACTTTACCAGTGGTCTTGCAGAGTCTCAAGCATCTTGAAGAGCGCTGACGTGTCACAAACAATCAAAGCCGTCTCACATGACAACGCAAGCGCGTCACTTACTCGTGCAGGAGTGGTGTGAGGACCATGCGGTGTTTCAGACAGGGACTGTAAGGCTCTCGTCATTATTGCACTAAGCGAATCACCCTTATATGCAGCTTTCGCACCTTTCAGGAGCGTGTCAAACGTCGTGATGTCATCTTCTGACGAAAAAGTCAAGCTGATGGTGCGGCGCAACGCGCTCCGCTGACACGTGTATTCTTTTACGCTACCGTCTTTCATCCTCTTTCTCGAAACGAATGTAGAAGGTTCAGGGACCTCCATGCTTGTCGGTCTAGTCGATGTGGTCGCTAAAATAGTAAAGAGAAAACAAACTGTGTTGACCAAAAGTTAAAAAAAAAAAAACATCCAGAAATTGAACTAAAAATTATACGCACCGCTATTTAGGAGAAATCCTTGGACCGGGTATTGCTGCGTTGGATGTTTTCTCGAAAGTAAAAATCGTTCATCAAACAGCTGGCGAAATGAGGTTGTTACAGAACTCGCTGTAACCAGCAAGTGCCAGCCAGCAGAAAGAGCTCGTCACCGTGCCTGCTCGTGTGTTTCAAACCGGGATGTACTTATTTGAAGTAAGGCAAATGCAGAATGGGTTCTCAAAAAATAAATCGTAAAAAAGAAAAAACGCTGTGCGAAGAAAAAAAAAGGGGGAGTGTGGGTGGAGGTTTTCCGGGGGGGTTGCTTGATTGCAAGAGTGAAACTAATCCTTTCTAATGCTTTGAAATCCTCTTCCGGCCTATGCCAAACTTTGAGAGCAGGTTTCATGTGGTCAGGTCGTACGGGCTCGACAGTGTGGCGCAACCCGCCCTGTTCTCTTTTTTTTTTTTTTTTTTTTGGGGGGGGGGGTTGTTTTCTGCTTTCTTTCAATAATGGCAGGGACTCTTTGAGGCCCGCCAAGGCACTTTTAGTACCCCGCAAAACGTATCTAATCAGTCAAGCCAGGCTATAAAATTTTAATCTTTTGAATTATAGAAAGCACGCACCCAACTTCTGGCTGATATCTTTCACCATACGTAACTGAGAAAGGTCTACTTCACTCTAGCTCTCAGTATTACAAATTTATTTTGACGAAATCATGACTCAATACGTTTCCCCCTCTCATCACCACGGATGGGATCTGGACATTTCGGCGAGAGCTGCCGTGTTTAGGTGTGACGGTTCGGTGTAAAGGCGATTCGGTGCGGTCTTTGCGGCGCACGGAATTTTCGATGCGCGTACTTTTCAGTGTGCAGACTTTTCGCTGTACGAACTTTTCACGCACGAACTTTTCAGCGTAAATATGAGTTTCGATCTTTCTTTCTTTTTCATTACAAGAAAAACGGCGTAAAATAGTATAGAGACAAACGGGCAGCACTTAGACAAAAAGACCAGAAGTCCGAAATGTGTCGGCTTCCGATGCGGGACACCCTTATACATTTTATATCGTCATAGACTTGCGGTGTATTATTCCATGGCTCAACAGAGTACCGTGATTTTTCCCAAAATGAATAATCACTGAAAACATAGCTACGTTTTCCTTCTCGAATCCCCCATAAGTAAATCTACGTAAATATGGGGTGTCCGAAATAACGCACCCTAATTTTTTTCTCTTAAAAATTTGACAGCTTTCGCGAATTGAACCGGCTCTCTATGTTGTTAGTAAACGTCTTGCGAGAGCTGCCGTGTTTTTAAATAACCCTAAGCAAATAAATGTTTAAGATTAATTACCTAACTTTCGGAATGTTGTATAAAGAGACGAAACGTCATTGAAAAAGCTCTAGAGCTCTTTGAGAAACAACCAAATCATCTGTTTGCAACGTAATATAACTGGCGTGTTTTTTTTGTTTTTTTTTTTTTGTTTTTTTTAATAACCAGCAATCAACTTTGTGAAACAGGACAAAATACCCTGTGGTAACGCGCCCGGCCCATCATACACTCATTTTCGAATGTCCCAAGCTTTCTAAGTACGAAAATAGCCACTGCTATTTTCGTACGAGAACAAAAAAACATTTGATTTCAAATAAAATAAATTTAGCATTCAACCTATTCGGCTTCCTTGCTTGATTCAAAACGATATTTGATTCAATTACAATTATTTTGTGCCCGCACACACCTACTTTATTATTTTATGAGCTTCAAGTGATACATTATTTTTCGTCGTGTGAGGTTATTAACAATTTATTATTAACCAATCGTTAACAATCGATGCTATACGTTTTCCCGGTGGAGGCACATTTGAAGATATTCAAAATTTTTCTGATCTATCGTACAAAACAACTTCTCAAGCTTCTTGCTGGTTGGGGCTTTTCCCACACGTAGTACCAGCAATAAAGCTAAAGCCTTATAGAGTATACCGCCTGTATCGACTCAACGCGTAAACACGATGTGGAGCGTGTAGTGCGTACGTTGGAAAAGAGATACCGGCGAGGTGAACCATCGCGTCTAACGTCTTCGAGCCTCACACAGGATAATGCTGCGCCTAACAAAGTCACTTAGGTCCCCAAAGTAGAATGGTTCAGAACCAATGGTCTATGGAACGCGATTCGTGAGATACCGAAAAACGCCGCTCGTAATTCCCGCTATTGCCATGAATTCACATAAATAACGAAAGATGCCAAATCAGAGATTTAGAACGAAATTGATACTTCAATGACTACTTCTTTGAATAAAACAACAGTTATTGGTGTTTTTACAACAGCAGAAATCGTTCTTCAAACCCACGCTAAAAACAGCCATCGAACTCGTTGGGGAGAGCAAGTGCCAAGCTCGCTCAAAACAGCCTCGGCTGGTTCAGTTCCCTGTCGCGGAGGTGCCGGCTTGACCCTGGATAATCCTTTCAAATCCCTCAAACGTTGATTGCACCCACCCCAATCTTCCACAAAGGGGATCAGGCAGGCGGTCAGGAAAAAAAGGTCGGAAAATGGCGAGGAGGAAACGGGAGGGGATTTCCTCCTTTCACATGGCGAGAAGGAAAGTGAGGGTCCGGTGCCTTCTCTCTGCTTGCGAGCCGGATTTTAGGCCAGCTCAAAATTCGTTTCATGGGCCCTTTAGCATGGGAAAAACGGCGCAATGTACACTTTCGGATTTTAGATGAACCTTAAGAATTGAGCACAGTCGAGCGACAACCATATCTACGATCTTTTTTAGTAGACTCCTTCTTACTGCCCGGTTATAGCGAATCCTTTTGAAATTTCACAATAGCTGCGCTAAATGGACGTTGAAGTGGCTGGGACACATAACCTACTCCAGTTGCTTGGAGTTATAATTTAGTCCCTACAGTTTACTTTAGGTCAAAATTTCTTCTGTGGTTTTACCTTAATACTCATCCACGTCAGAGTGATGAGTTGAATTTTTAGTTCTTTTTTTTTTTGGTTCGTGAAAATTGAACTGTTTAACTGGTGAAAGAAATTAATTCTAATGAAAACATCAAGTTCCAAAGCTGACATCCACGTTTCAAAGCTGCTCTGAAGGCAGCTTTGAAACGTTGATGACAGACGCAGATGACAGCAGGTGACGCCTCTAAAGGATTCGGTGCAAGACGATTGCCACCGAGCAAGTCTCACAAGCGCAAAAAATGCATGACACCAGCGTTCATTGAAACAAAAATTATTCGTTTATTCTTTTTTTCTTTTCTTCTGTGGTCAACAAGCGAGTCCCACACGCGCAGAAAATGCGTGACATCAGCGATCTTAGAAACAAAAGTCAATCGCTTATTTTTCTTTTTTTTTTTTTTTCTCCTGTGGGAAAAGGGGGCGGACGTGGCTCGTCACTCTCCACGCTAGGAGGCCCAGAAGTAGGGTGCCTTCATGTGCGCTTCGCATAGGGTGATGCCAAGTGCCTGTTTCCCTTTCCCCCGCCGCCATTTTGTTCCTCATTGTTTCCCGTGCGCCGTAAAGTGGCCTTTGTGTCCATCGGTCCCCCCATCCGAGGGGGGAAATGCTAATCCTCCCTCCGCGGGTTCCACAACGCTACTCCGAACTTGTGAGATAAGGTGCTTGTTTCCGGGAGGGTTATAAGCCCCACGGATTATCGCCGAGGCCAAAATGGCTGCTGGTTTGTCGGCGAGTGGTATTACAAAGGGTGGCACCACCCTAGCAAAGCGCAGATGAAGGCTCCCTACTCAGAACGTCCCTCGACCTGTAATGAGGACACAGGGGGTTACATGATTTAGGTGGGCAGTGTGGGGTCTGTGAACTTGATAGTCATTGTGCTTCCATAGGTTTCGCATATTTCACGCTCTAAATAGAGGCAAGGGCCATTCGTCAGTACTGGTATTTATACTTCAGCCTGTTCGCAACTCATTGTTCGAAGCTTTGGTACGTGCGCTCAAAACCTCGATAACATGTCCCCGGGTGTCCCTAATAAAATGCCCTCGGGCCGTCTTACCCTCGCTTTACCTTCGTGAGTAGGTTCTGGACGGGGGAGGTGAACTGTAGTTTCTACACAGAAGCTGGTAAAGGTTTAAAACCTTAGACAACCCCGACACTGGGAGGAAGGAAGGACAACACAACACGAAGTCTCAAACACAGCTGTGCTTGAGACTTCGTGTTGTGTTGTCCTTCCCTCCAGTCTCGGGGTTTTGTCTAAAATGTAGGGTTACCTTTTTTTACTTTCAAGAGGCGGGGGTTCAGACTTACCTCGGTGACCCTCTGTACGAGAAGGGCCCCCTGGCGTAGAAGGGCTGCCGATGACTGGCCACTGGTACCCGGGAGGTGGACCCCGTGGCGACGTTTCGGGCCCTTGGGGCAGCAGGATCCTCAGCCGGGGGAGAGAACTGCCCTGCCTCGCGAAGCGCCTTCAGGGTCTCGTTCCTCGTTCTGAATTCAGGAACAACGGTTCTCCAAAGAGCTTCCGACGAGTCCTCGTCCCCGGAGTCTTCCGGCACCATGTGGCGAAGCTGTGGGGCGACTCTCGAGATCGCACATTCGCGGCGCTCGCGGCTGACCTTCACGAAGAGCCACCCCATCTGAGAAAATGTTGCCCCAAGGCGCTCAGCCACCACCTCCCTCCTGGTGGTCTTCTCCTCGTGGCCTACCTCCAGGAGGTAGACGAGTGGCCCCATGGCGGAGGTCATGGAGAGATGGGTCTCCTTGATGGCCTGGTCCCGGGTGGTGATGGATCCAACTTGCGAACTGTCCGGGTTCCGCTTCTTCTTGGCCTGGTCTCGCATCTCTGCGTTGAGATCCGGGGGCGGGCGACGATGACCTCAGCATGCGTGGCCATGGCCGTCACAATTTGCCTGGGGTCTTCAGACATCTGAGAAAAACGATGAGGTTACACACGCGTCTAAGCTGCTGCAGTGTAGTGGTACTGCAGACAATGGACGGAATAAATGACAATATTATCGCGAAATTATTATTGGCGACTATGGAATCGGTTTTTATTTGTCTTGGCACCACCGCGAAAATATCTGCGTTTCATTATTATTTCTTAAATTAATTTCTTTTACGACTTTCTGCTAAGCGACACCAACTTTTAAAAATGCTCGTATACACAGATCGATCGGGAGAACAAGGCGGTGTCACTCCATTGTTTTTGTGCCGCACAGAGAAATAAAGAACCTTATTTTTTAAATGAGGTGATATAGTACTGCGAAATCGCTCGTACGATCTATTTTCGCGTTTTTTCGCCCGCTCACATCCTGCCCCAATGACACTTGGAAGGACGACGTCGTCGTTTGAGTCGCATCGTCACTATCTCGGCAGCATATGTCCTTAGTAGATGCACAGACGACAGATAAGACAACATGACTGAACCGACTGCGTCCCTCGTCCAAGCCTCATTGTGGGCATAGCTTGCTACGCTCTTGTGTAGCGCAACTTCTTAATAGGGCAAAAAGAACTAAAAAAACTTATTCTTATCTAAAGAAGCATGACCTTTTTGTCAATTTTTTTCAATAGGTCTGGTTTCTAGTACTAAATGCCGTCAAGAGAAAAATTCCAGAATGAACTCTAAAAACAAATATTAAAACGTTCTTTAACAAAATTTAGTTAATGAGTAAACTTAGCATGACGATCGTCAGTTCAGCTAATGTCTGCCGTGCCTGATGAATAGATTGTGAAAACAGCACTCGTCGAACTCGACCTTTTTTTCCCCCCTAATGTTCTGTTTGAGATAAATGTAAACAACGTCAAAGGCCCGCAATCGGAAAACGTTTACTCCACTGTCACGCGCGTTTAAAAGAAAATACAGTCGCCCAGCAAAAGTCTGCAAATCATCTCACAACGTGAGCAAATATATGTTTAACTCTGCAGAAGATGACGCGAGTGAGCGAAAAGTGAAGACTAATTCACCATTTTCTTGAACCGCCCGAGACTGGGTGGAGAACTAGAATGTCGGTAGTTCTCCACCCATTCTCAGGTGGTTCAAGAAAATGGTAAATATACACAAGATCGCCTGAGCCAGCAGTCTTATCGTTATAAATAAATCACGTTAACGGAGGTGTTTCAATTCACTTAAACTGCCCAGTAGGCGAAACTTTCTTAATGAGTGAGAAAACATAAATGACCCATAGGTGTCGATAAAACACACACAGTCAATAGTCTATGTTTGAGTGCTTAAAAAAGCCTGGCGTCACGGAGTGAATTTATTACTTAAATTTAGAAATAAATTTTACGAACGTTCGAAGTACACATATAGGATAGGATAGAGATTTAAAAAAAAAAAAGGGCTAGCATTCTTATCCACAGAAAGTATAATTCTGGCTTACGTTTTCAGGGACGAAGAGGCGATTCTGCTGACGGTCAAATGGATTTTATCGGCAAGAGTACGGAATATATAGGCAGAGGGGAGGTCGGAAATAACGAAGACATGCGGGTGGTGTGCAGAAGATATTTTATTTTATAGAACAAAAATGGCCACATAGGAAAATTTTTTTTTGTTTTGTCCAGTGTAGCAGGTCAAAAATGTTTTAACGTTATGGTAACGTCACACTACCCGAATGCATTTTTTTATAGAGAAATATTCATATGGACAAGGTGAAGATATCCAGAGCGTGCAATCCGCTGTGCAGTGCGACGCATTTGAGAGATGTCTTTGTTCGGTGTCGCCAATATGTTGAGATGAGACAACAGCACGCTGCTCACAGAAGTTGAGAAGCGTCGAAACACCAACAAGAGAAATAAAAGTACATGACAAAAAGCAGCCCCCCCCCCCCCCCCTAAAAAAAATCGCCCCTAAGTTGGGATTGTCGCGGAAGCTACGCCCTCGTGGGGCCAGTCACATGCCTCTCATTGGCGACGTCATCTCACTCCCGGCCATACCCACGCGCAGAGAGCCGGGTCAGGTGATAAGAGGGAGGTGGCTGATTGGTCCGGCGGGTAACGTGGTCTCAGCTATGGGTTGAACGGAACACGGAAGGTTCCACAATAAAGCGATTCATATCCTCTCTCTCTTCCTTCTGGCCGAGCAGAGAGGAAAGATGGTTTCCTTGTATCGACATCAGGTATTCACGGTGGGTACACAGGAGGATTTGGCGAAGTCGTATCGAGGTCATTGCGGCTAAGTGGGCAAAGAGGATGTAGCTTACTTTTTGGATCTCGAAACGAAAGGGGGGGGGGGGGGGGGGGGGGGGTAGTGCGGCGTGCGGCTTTGCGCGCACGTTGTTCGCGTGTCTGGGTGGCAGCACATATGTGGAAAATGAGGGTTTTTACTTGATGCCGGATGTCTTTAGGTATTCAAAATCGTTTCCGTAATCGGCACACTTTTGAATATTGCCAGGAACGGTCATTTATTTATTTAAGACCTTTCCATAATCTGCATAAATTCAATAAACCTAAGAACGAAGGGCGAGGGTAAGACGGGCCGGGGAGGAGGAAGCAGACGGAACGCTAAAGAGAGAAGGATGTTCCCCTCTCTCTTCTCCACCGTTCCGTCTGCTTCCTCCTCCCCGGCCCGCCTTATCCTCGCCCTATGTTCTTAAGTTGCAACGGACTATACACCAACTCGTGTTTACAAACAAACCGGAGCGCCCGGAGCGCCCCTAGCGGACGCCATCGGCGCCGCGCATGCGCGATGGGGGTGTGGGCAAAAAGCTCGCCGTCGCCCATAAACAAACCATTGAAATGCGATGTTGTCGGCGTCGGTGTGAGTCCCCGCGCTCTTTCTGGCGTTGGAAATGTTGATTCTACGTCCTCTTAACGATCTCTGACTACTTGAGCATCGTCATCGAAATTACCGAGGCTCGTTACACCGCGAAACTTCGCGTGAATCATCTGACATGCGGCGATTCATTCCGCGTGGACGCCGCAGAATGTACGCTAAAGCCTGATTTACTTGATGAGATTTCGCTCGCAATTTTCAGTAGCGACGTCGCTCGGACTGCAAAAGCGTGAACCGTAGTTGAGATGTCGACGTCGATACTGAAAATCGCAAGCAGAATCTAACCAAGTGAATCAGGCATAACAAATCGGTGATGGCCACTGGTACCAATGATCAACATCTCCTTGTGTCTACTGTTTACGTCCAGCCTGCTTACCAACCTTCAAATTTTAGTCTTTTGAGGCCTGCACTTACTTCTTATCGCAAGTACTGGGCCCACGTTTGGTCTACGGGCCGGTGTCCTCTAAAAGAGCAGACGACAAGCAGAAACGTTTGAAAGAGCAGACGACAGTTCGAACGATCAGGCGGCCGTTTGAACTTGAAGACGCACTGAACGTAGTCCGCAGGTGGTCCGTACAACTTGACGATTTTGCGGGGCTCATTTGGGAACAAAACAAATAAATTTGATGACCAGAAGTATGCGTGAATTCAACCCAAAATGCTTCCCGCCCAAGCAATCGTGGTCTGACGACGTCTGGTTTTCCCTTTTCACGGCATATATCCACGTCCTCGGACGAACCGAGCGCATGAAAACTGACCTTCAAATATTTCTCGGCACTTTTGGTGCAGCCCCAGTCGCAGCATTTTGACGAGAAGGCAGGTTTTTGTCTCGTTCCTTTCAAAACAACGCAGGAATACACGTCTGGCATGGGCACTTCCGCCCACAGCCCCGGACCGGAAGTGCGTCCGACGCGCCACCACCGCGGCGTGACGTAACAGAGATGAGTTCGTGTATAGTTTCGTAATTTACTAGCCTTTCAATATGTTATACGGTCAATGAAACACGCTCGTGCCTAGCCTGTGGTTTCTGTTTCTCAGTATATAAATGGATGTATGATTCCCAGCATATGCATTTATTTGTTGCTTTATTTTAAGTCGATGTGAGATTTTCGGGATTGTATGTCACTAAAATTAAATCGCTTGTAACTCAAATTATGGATCTCACTGTTTTAGACATTGACTCGTCGCATTGTATAAAAAATCAAGTTCTAGTACGAGTATTCCGGTATGACAATAAATCCTCGTGCTAGATGCGCTTTCACGAGTTGGACTATTGGAGGAGCTGCTTGTGACGAGTTCTCCTAGAGCCGAATTGCACATGAGCTTTGCTTTACTGTTTCGCTTTGCGTATGGTTTTGTTCGCGTGAGGAGTTGTGTTCCTAGTGACATGGAGGAACACTATAAAAAGTTTGTGCGTCTGCTTTCACGCACAACACTCAAATAACCAATCAGCGCAACTTACGGAGGAAGCTCAGCGAATGACAATGCCGAAACATATGTTTAGACCAAAAAACGCAGTCTGAGTTCTGATATTAAGCAATGCAAAACGACACGCTTGCATTGCTGAATGTCACTACTCAGACTGCGTTTTTTGGTCTAAACATATGTTTCGACATTGTCATTCGCTGAGCTGCCTCCGTAAGTTGCGGTGATTGGCTCTCCGAGTGTGGTGTGGGAAAGCGGACGCGCGGGCTTTGTTTTAGAGTGAAGGGTAAAGCGCTCCTGTTTTTCTAAAGAAGCTGACATGTCAGCTCGTCCCTTCTGTGACCTGGGGCCCTAATCTGGACACTTGGCGAAAAAGTCGGTGAGAAATCCGGTGGCCGGCGCCGTGCTTAAAGGGCCCATGAAACGATTTTTGGGTTGGGATAAATCATTTTAGATTGGGATTTTACTAATAGCACATCGTTCAGTGGACCAAAAGAAAAAAGGTAGAAAGTCAAAAGCCTGACTTTCAGTGCGAAAATTTGAAAACAGAGCGGACTATTTCGTACCTCCTCCCCTTCGCAACCTCTCTGCCTTTTCACTGTGATACATCCGCGGTCCCAAAAGCGCATCGTCGGGTCCAAACTG